AGAGCCATTGCTGCTCCCCTTGCTTCACATTGGCTCTGCAGATTTAAAGAAGAGCTCGGCCCTGGCGTCATCAACCAACTAGCCACCTCCCCAATCTTTTGGCCACCACAGCAGATCGGCCCACAGACTCATCCAAGGAACCCAGGCGAAGCCTGCGCGACTCAGTTTTGAAGGAGAGACCCATTTTCCTTCTGTGTGCGTATCTGGTAGCTGCACTCCTCCAGCTAACAGCTTGCGCAACACAGTGACTATAATCCATGCCCATCTGGCTTTTATTTATTCATGATGAGCCTGATCCTGCAACGTGATGTTGGGAGGAGCTGAGCCTTGCTAACTCCTTCTTCACCCCTGCAGAAATGGAGCGTCTCAGCACTTACCATCATCTGGTAGGAATATATCCAGGGTAAATTAATATAAAGAGGGATGTGTATATTTGTTTTTATAGTGCCGCAAAAGTGGAGTTATTAGGAAATCAGTCTATAACTGCCCTCTTAATGATTCTTACTCTTCTGCACTCATTCAGAGAGAGTCAGCTCTATTGTATCAGGTATAAAAAAAGCAGCTTCGTTGACATGGTTTATGACTTTATTAAAACCAAGGATTTTATATTAATAACTATCAGCTCCTCAGTTATATTTCCCCAGTGAAGAAAATATGTGTATTGGTGTAGGTCCAAAGCAATTTGTAAACACAAAGTATTAAAAGGCTCAACAATTCTAAAAAGTTTTAATTGGAAACTCAACAAATTGCTTTGCAACATCTTAATGCTTCAATATGGAGCTCTCAGATAATGAGGAGCTAATTAAGGGGCCAGGATTCATTTTTTTATGATAACTCTCTCCATATGGGCTCTGCATTCGGTGCTTGCAGAACTAATGAAGGTCAGAGAAGTAACAGCAAAGGAAGAAAGGAAAATTTTTAGCTCTGGGTGTTGTGATGATGCTAAGCAACAGTCAGTATTTCTGCCTGGGTTTTAGGCCAGGTGCTGAGCGAGCTTCACTTAATTCGACAGGACAGTCTGAGGAAGTGCTATCGCAGCTCTAAGCTGCATTTCACAACCCACTGCTGCTCCCATGGGCTTTCACCTGGTGGGAGAAGGATGAGCTTCTGTTTCCCTCTGTCAGCCCCAAAAGCTGGGCTCTGCCCCGCACACACAACCAGTTTCCCACGTCGCTAGACGTGGCCTGGAGAAGGAGGGAAGTGTCATGGTGACGAGGCGCAGGGAGCTGCTTCACCTGTGGTCTGAGTTGGCCAGACATGCAGCCGTGCTGGAGGGAGGCACGTGGCTGCATCCGTGTCCCACCGTGCCCAAAAGCTGGGCAGGTATCCTCTGGGGTGGGCATGAGGGCTCCAGGGAAGGGGGCTGTCTCGGGGAGAGGAACAGGAAAGGACCATGGCTTGGTTAAGTGTGAGAATGAAAGCAAACCCCACCAGATAGCCCATTCATCAGGTGTGAACCAGCACTGGTTCAGCCGACTCGAAGCATGAAGGACAGCAACACCGTGACACACAGAATTAGGTCTGTCCCGTTCCTTGCTCAGCTACGGACCTGGGACTCGGCACGGCTGGTGGGGCTGGGAGCAAAACCTGGGTTCTGCATCCAGCCCAAACCCTCGCAAATACCTAGTATAGTGCTTTGGAATGACTCCCTTGTAAAATATTAACAACATATAAACACACATACAAAAGTGTGGTCAGATGTTACTTCTCTGAAGTAACTCACCGACTCCCATCACTAAATTTGGACCAGCAAACCTCGTGCACCAAATAATTAAGTCATAGGCTATAGAAAGCAATCCGCTGGGATGTACTTGTCTTTGAATGGCTCATCCACTTGAAAAGTAATACATACCATTAAGTATATGACCATATGGCATCCATTTATAGAATATTGCACTACAGGCAAATAGGACAAAGGTACACCCCTTAAAGCACTTTTTTCATCTCATTAACTTTGGGTACATGTTACAGAAAAGCTTCTGTGTCTTTGTTGTGTTCAAGGACATTTTGTGCTGTTGAGTCTTGTATTAAACAAATTGCACTAGGAAAATTAGAATCTAAATGTAGCTGTGCCCTAAAGCAAACAGCATTATTTTGCCTTTCTGTAATTCAATTTAGTTTTGAAGATCAATATTTTGAAGCAAACGTGTTCTTTTGTCCTCAAATTTTACCTAATGACAAAGCTGACGCTGGGTAATTTGGTGCGTAAAGAGGCATGGCAGTGCTCCGGTGTGGCAGCGTGCCTGGCCAGGGTGCTGGCAGATTCGGGTGATGCCCTGCCACGTGCTCTGGTCTACCTGAAAGATCTCCCCAAAACCGGATGGTCTGGCTGACACAACCTCCATGAACACCCACAGGGATCTTAGAGAGGAAGGTCTGGTGGCCAGGGCACAGCTCCATGGCTTGCAGGTGAGCAGGAAACAGGGTATGCAAAGCCCAGCTGCTGGGGCAATGATCTACACCAAAAAGCAATTCAGCGTGTAGTACAGCTGACAACAGCCAGGATTCCAAACTACAGCGATGGAAATGCACCAGCGCACTCGAGGAGCTGTGCAGTGAGCTGGTTCAGGGTCTGCAGAAGCCCAGCCCCTCCCGTGGGCATGGGCATCCATCCCACTGATTGCAGCGGTTGCTGGATCCAGCTCTAAATCATATAAAACCAGCACGCTCCCCTTAAATGAGTTTGCACTGAAGAAATGCATTAATTAAATAGAAATGACTGCAGGTGCCGCACAGCTTTTTGGTTTAACAGATTGCTCTTGTGCATTGAAGATCAATACTGCTGCCAATTACGCTATGAGTCTCTAGCCCCCCTTTTTCTTAGCTTCTTGGAGGGAAAGCCACTGCTATGTATCGAAGATCTCCACAAACCTGGCAGTCCAGAGCCCTGGAAATACGGCGTGCTGCACAGAAACGAGTCCTCAGAGAGCTGTCCTCATTCTGGATACAGCCAGCATTTCAGTAAGAGGAGGAGTGCTGACACAGGGCAGCATCTCAAACCTGTGTAACTGGCTCAAACATCTACATGTGGAGGATTGTTCATTGCTTGTGGTTTAATCCAACTCTGGGAACCACATTACACCTTTTTTTTTTTTTTTCCTTTCCTCCTT